AAGAAGGAAGGGGGTTTACGCCCGTGTATTGATTACCGTGGTCTAAATCAGATCACCATCAAATACAGCTATCCTCTTCCTCTGATTGCTAGCATGACGGAGTCATTACACGGGGCGCGATTCTTCACAAAATTTGATCTCAGGAGCGCGTACAATCTGGTGCGCATTAGGGAGGGAGATGAGTGGAAGACAGCATTTAGTACCACCTCGGGTCACTATGAGTACCTCGTCATGCCATACGGGTTAATGAATGCTCCTTCAGTCTTCCAATCATTTGTGGACGAGATTTTTCGGGACTTGCATGGACAGGGTGTTGTGGTATATATTGATGACATCCTAATATATTCCGCTACACGAGCCGAGCATGTGTCCCTGGTGCGTCGAGTGCTTGGTAGACTGTTGGAACATGACCTGTATGCGAAGGCGGAGAAATGTCTGTTCTTTCAGGAGTCCATCTCCTTCCTGGGACATCGGTTGTCCGCGTCAGGGGTAGAGATGGAGGTTGACCGCGTTTCTGCCGTGCGTAATTGGCAGACCCCGACCACGGTAAAGGAAGTGCAGCGTTTCTTGGGTTTTGCCAATTACTACCGGAGGTTTATCCGGGGCTTTGGACAGGTAGCGGCTCCCATTACCTCTCTGCTAAAGGGTGGTCCGGTGCACCTGCAGTGGTCAGCTGAGGCTGATATGGCGTTTAAACACTTGAAGGACCTGTTTACCTCGGCTCCGGTGCTGGCGCATCCGGATCCCTCTTTGGCATTCCAGGTGGAGGTGGACGCTTCCGAGGCTGGGATCGGCGCTGTGCTGTCTCAGCACTCGTGTACGCCACCTAAACTCCGCCCCTGTGCTTTCTATTCTAAGAAGCTCAGTCCGGCGGAGCGCAATTATGACGTGGGGGATAGGGAGCTGCTGGCTGTGGTTCAAGCCCTGAAGGTGTGGAGACATTGGCTTGAGGGGGCTAAACACCCTTTTCTCATTCTGACTGACCATTGTAACCTGGAGTACATCCGGGCAGCGAGGAGGTTGATTCCTCGCCAGGCAAGGTGGTCGATGTTCCTTTCCCGCTTTGTATTTAAGCTCACATATATACCAGGGTCCCAGAACGCTAAGGCAGATGCCCTGTCCCGACTATATGACACCGAGGAGAGGTCCATTGAGCCCACTCCCATACTCCCGGAGTCGTGTTTAGTGGCACCAGTGGTGTGGGAGGTGGATGCGGAAATCGAGCGGGCGTTACGTACCGACCCTACTCCTCCACAGTGTCCAGAGGGTCGGAGGTACGTGCCGCTCGAGGTTCGCGACCGGTTGATATACTGGGCTCACACGTCACCCTCCTCTGGTCATCCAGGTATTGGTCGGACAGTGCACTGCCTTAGGGAGAAATACTGGTGGCCAACCTTAGCCAAGGACGTGAGGGTTTATGTTTCCTCCTGCTCGGTGTGCGCCCAGTGTAAGGCGCCTAGACATCTGACCCAGGGGGAAGTTACAACCCCTACCCGTTCCACAACGGCCGTGGTCTCACATATCGGTGGATTTTGTGACGGACCTTCCCCCCTCTCAGGGAAACACTACGATATTGGTCGTTGTGGATCGGTTTTCTAAGGCCTGCCGCCTCATTCCCCTGCCAGGTCTCCCTACTGCCCTACAAACTGCTGAGGCCCTGTTTACACACGTCTTCCGGCACTATGGGATGCCTGAGGATATAGTGTCTGATCGGGGTCCCTAGTTCACCTCTAGGGTCTGGAGGGCATTTATGGAACGTCTGGGGGTCTCGATTAGCCTTACTTCAGGTTTTCACCCCGAAAGTAATGGGCAGGTGGAGAGAGTTAACCAGGATGTGGGTAGGTTTCTGAGGTCATATCGCCAGGACCGGCAGGGGGAGTGGTCGGGATATATTCCCTGGGCAGAGATAGCCCAGAACTCCCTCCGTCATTCATCTACTAACCTGACACCTTTCCAGTGTGTGTTAGGTTACCAGCCGGTTCTGGCACCTTGGCATCAGAGCCAGATTGAGGCCCCTGCGGTGGACGGGTGGTTTCGGCGCTCAGAGGAGACGTGGAATGCTGCGCACGTTCATTTGCAGCGTGCCATCAGGCGGCAAAAGGCGAGCGCCGATCGCCACCGCAGTGAGGCTCCGGTGTATGCACCAGGAGACCGGGTCTGGCTCTCGACCCGAAACCTGCCCCTTCCCCTGCCCTGCTGGAAGCTGGGTCGGCGGTTTGTGGGGCCCTTTAAAGTCCTGAGGAGATTGAACGAGGTATGTTATAGGTTACAACTGCCCAGGTATTATCGCATTAACCCCTCGTTCCATGTGTCTCTCCTCAGGCCGGTGGTAGCTGGTCCACTCCAGGAGAATGAGGTACGAGAGGCTCCTCCGCCCCCGATGGACATCGAGGGGGCTCCGGCGTACTCAGTCCGGTCCATCTTGGATTCGAGGCGTCGGACGGGGGGCCTGCAGTATCTCGTGGAGTGGGAGGGGTACGTCCGGAGGAACGGTGCTGGGTCCCCAGGAGGGACATTCTAGATCCCTCCTTGTTGAGGGACTTCCACCGGAGTCATCCAACTCGCCCTGCTCCGCGTCCTCCTGGCCGTCCCCGAGGCCGGGGTCGGCGCACGGCTGGGGCCGCGCGCCAAGTGGGGGGGGGGGTACTGTCACGGATTCAGCCGAGGCTGTTCCTCCTCCCTGCTCGGGCAGGCTTCGGCGTTCGTCGTCCCCGGAGTACTAGCTGCCACCGATCTATGTTTCGGTGTTTGACTTGTTGTGTCTGATTGTGTACACCTGTTCCCCATTATGTTTTATTGTATTCCCTATTTAACCCTCTGTCGTGCATTGTGTGTTGTGTGTTATTGTTTTGTGTCATCGACAGTGTACCGGTTGTTAGTTTTCTCCGTTGTTTGGAGACTGTTCATTTCACTGGCGACTTTTATTAAAGTACGATTTCCAGTAGCTCCGTGTACTGCGTGTGACTTCGCCTACCGCATTTCACTGTCGCCGTTTCTGACATTAAGCTATGTATGAAAGTTGTAAAACTAATATTTTAGAACTAGCTGACTCCCTAACTCGTTTTGGCTCTCTAGCCACATTTATACCTGCTTCTAACATGCGTAATTTGTCATGATCTTGTCCTCATTCTGATTGTGCCCACATTTGTAGACAGGTGTAGACAATTAAAAGACGCATTGTGAACAGATTTTGATCAGATCTTATAAGTGTAAACGTGCAAGATCAGGACAAGATCGAGACAAAATTAGGACAAAGGTCGCATGTTAGCGGTAGGTATAAGCGGGACTACTAAAATGTCTGCCTTATTCATTATCAATGGCGAAGGTGCATAAAGATGACGGCCACCTTGTACTTACCACAAATGCCTCGTTTGCTAAGTTCGCCGTACTGTACATTGCTCTCAGTTACTGTTTTTTTGTTATGGGCGCAGCAATAAAAGTAGACGGCAGCAATAAAAAAAACTGAACAAGTAGCCTAGATTGTGGTGATTTACTGGCATATTGAACCATGTCGCGCTCCGTAAGAATTCTGTAGGTAGTGCTAAAACAATTACATGTATGCACCTTCGCCATAAATGTCAAGAGTTTGCCAAGAGTTTATAACCTTCAGAAATTGTATCAATCCCACAGTTGCCATGCATTTAGGAAACAGGTAGCTCTATGCATGCACATCTGACATGCTTGGATCAGGGACGATAGAATTGTTGGTCGATTTCCTCAGTTTTCAGCTTTTTTTGTCCTGTGGGGGATGGCCTCGTGATGATACGTTTTTCTGAGCCCATTTTAGAAATACAAATGTTTTGGACTTCAGGTTGGAGTCGATTAGTATTCTGACATCTTAAAGGAGCAATCTGCAGTTTAAACAATAACAAAGCATTTACCCCACTGCTGTTTTGGTAAAAAGCTGAGGGATGGGGCTGGATAAATTTAACCTCTCTCAAAATCATGGACAGAGCAATGGATACAAGGACTGACCATCCATAATATCAACATTTTAGTTTTAACCATGTTTTGAGGCTATACAGTAAACTTAAAATTACATTGTTTACAAAACAAAGTTATATTTTGGGTTCTGATGGGGTACGACAGTTAAGCTAAGCTCATGAGTTATATTCTTCAAGAATTAATGGATATACATAATTAATTTAAAAGTCTAAAAATTGATGTAGCAATCGCAGATTGCCCCTTTAAAAATTAGATTTCAACAACAGTCAAGAAATGTATTTGAACTTTCTTGGTGATTGGGAGGATTATGAAGATATGGGTATTTAGGGAGTTTTAGACATCAGATCACAGGTTGACTAGAGGTTAGTTGAGGAGTCTGAACGTTGACTACAATAAACTTTCCTCAAAATGGCCGCGTGGAGGGAATGGACCAAGCAGGACAATGAATGGGGAGTATAAGTTAAACAAAAAGCAGGGTGGAGGTAAAAAATGTTGGCAAAAAAAAGAAAAGGCATTCAGGGCAAAAAATACATTTACAAGCACAAAGTGCACAATGACTGTTATTTACACATACAGCAGTCCTTCAAGTTTCCAGTTATCGAAAACAAAAGTTACAAATATAAAGACAATTAAGAGAATCAAATACAGCCACTTTTTGCTCTGCAGATACAGTAAACATCCACACGTAGTAAGGATCCCAGCTGTGGTTACACTGTCCACTCCATTTACAGTACTGTATATACAAATACAATTTGCTTGTAATATTTTACACTTCAGTGACGCAAGATGCACCTCAGGCTTCTCACATGGCCTCCAACCATGGACAGGCACACACACGTGCACACACACGTGCACACACACGCACACACACACACACACACACACACACACACACACACACACACACACACACACACACACACACACACACACACACACACACACACACACACACGTATGGTCAAACACACGCACACACACACACACAGACAGAAAACAATCTTACGCATCACCACTCAGGGCTACAGGTGGGACTCTCTGCCACCTTTTTACCAGTCTGCATCTTCCTCTATGTAATAATCAGGAGTTGAAGTACCATCAAACAGACCCGGGTCCATTGACTTCCGCTGCTTGCCCCGGGCGAAGACGCGTGACAGAGAGCCCAGGCCCATCTTCTCTTTCTTCTTCTTACGCTTCTGGTCCTCCAGATCCTCTAGTGACTGCAGGGAGAGAGAGACGAGGGATCAGAGAGAATGAGATGAGAAGAACAGAAATATACAACACATAGCGAGTGAAGGAAGGAAAGCCGTAGAGAGAGAAAGAAAGAGAGAGAGACAGAAAGGGATGAAGTGATACTGAGTGAACTAGCCAGGCATGTGTCTGTTATCTGATAGGCAGCACACTCAAAGAATTTAACACATGAAGGGAGAGTGGGAAAACCACAGTTGAAGTGGCTAGAATAACGTCAACATAACTGGAACCGATCTAACGCTAGCCAGAAACCAACACACCAGCCCAATTTTGATAATCTGTCCCCCAAAAAATTATCCCATTCGTAACGCAACTCTATGTAGGGAGCTATCCCAAATAAAACCTACTTTTTAAAAGTCTAAGTCTGGCTGTTCTGGTGAAACTCCCTCAACTACAGCACAAGGGGCATGCTTTCAGCGAGGGGGAGTAGAGTAGCCTGGTCCCAGATCTGTTTGTGAACGACCATGGGAGTTGGCAAACCAGCACGAACAAATCTGGGACCAGGCTAAGAGTAGAGTAATCTCGGAACCCAGAACCAAATGTTGCGCCAGCCACTGGATTTGGTTCTGGGGAGCGTTGAGATATTTGAGATAACACCCACTTCTCTGAAATCCTCTTGACCATATGGGCCCAATGAACCCCTCCCCTTTCAAAATGTGAAAGATTCCACAGATGCCAGGTGTAGAACACCCCTGTGAAATTATGATTCTTCCAACTAATCAGTGATGCAAAAACCAGCGTCTCTCTCATATCCCCTATTTTCCAGCCAGACATAACTTTAGATAGAGATGTTGGGAGAGATCAGGATTAGAGTAGAGTTGTGAAGGAGTTGATTACTTGAAGGGGTGTGGCGGTGGGTGGGCAGCTCTTACATTACAGAGGGAGTGTGTCCGGTGGCGGGGGGAGTTGATGTCGCTGGGGGTGGATGAGCGGTCGCCCTCCAAGGCCGAGGCATCTGAGATGATGGAGGGCTGGCGGGAGTGACATGGGCTCACCCTGACTGCAGCCACTTGGGGGCAAAGGAAGAAAAGCGGAGGACAAATGTTGAAAACAGGTTTGAAACAAGTAAATGGGTTGTTGACGGTAAATGTACAAAAAATGTCAACCTCATATTAATCTCCAGCACCACCCCAACATCCACATGGGAACATGATGGATTTCTATGTTTTGTGGTCACAAAGATAGAAGGTAAGTGTTTCTGATGACATCACAAGTAAACACTTTTGACATCATCTGCTGTGCATCATGTGATTTTAACTGACTTTGAGCAGGCAAAGGTTATAGTAAAGTAAGACGCATATACAGATTTGCTTGTTCAAAAGTTACCATGCATCGTGACATCAGGAAGAAATCGGACATCACATTGCTTGCTTAGCGATTCCCGCTACCCCGATTAGGCCCATACCTGGCTCAAACTCGGGACCTATTCTTTGCTAACACACGTGACCGCCTTCCTTGAGAACGCTCAAACAGTTTGAGCCACCCGAAAGGTACCAATTTGATGGCTCCATCTGCAACATTTTATGATAGCTATGGAGTGAGCTTACGGTACGTTCTTAACTCAGTTACACATGGGTAACAGTCCCACCAGTGTCGTCCTTTGTGTGTGTGTGTGTGTGTGTGTGTGTGTGTGTGTGTGTGCATGCATGAGTGTGCATGTGTGTGTGTGCGTGTATGTATGTACAGTACCAGTCAAAAGTTTGAATGACCTACTCATTCAAGGGTTTTTCTTTATTTTTACTATTTTCTACATTGTACAATAATAGTGAAGACATCACAACTATGAAATAACACATATGGAATCATGTAGTAACCAAAAAAGTGTTAAACAAATCAAAATATATTCTATATTTGAGATTCTTCAAAGTAGCCACCCTTTGCCTTGATGACAGCTTTGCACACTCTTGGCATTCTCTCAACCAGCTTCACCTGGAATACTTTTCCAACAGTCTTGAAGGAGTTTCCACATATGCTGAGCACTTGCTGGCTGCTTTTCCTTCACTCTGCGGTCCAACTCATCCCAAACCATCTCAATTGGCTTGAGGTTGGGTGATTGTGGAGGCCAGGTCATCTGATGCAGCACTCCATCACTCTCCTTCTTGGTCAAACGCCCTTACACAGCCTGGAGATGTGTTGGGTCATTGTCCTGTTGAAAAACAAATGATAGTCCCACTAAGCGCAAACCAGATGGGATGGCGTATCGCTGCAGAATGCTGTGGTAGCCATGCTGGTTAAGTGTGCCTTGAATTCTAAATAAATCACCGGCAGTGTCTCCAGCAAAGCACCCTCACACCATCACACCTTTTCTCTTCCATGCTTCACGGTGGGAACCACACATGCTGAGATCATCCGTTTACCACTCTGTGTCTCACAAAGACACGGCGGTTGGAACCAAAAATCTCAAATTTGGACTAAAGGACAGAGTTCCACTGGTCTAATGTCCATTCCTTGTGTTTCTTGGCCCAAGCAAATCTCTTCTTCTTATTGGTGTCCTTTAGTAGTGGTTTCTTTGCAGCAATTCGACCATGAAGGGCTGATTCACACAGTCTCCTCTGAACAGTTGATGTTGACATATGTCTGTTACTTGAACTCTGTGAAACATTTATTTGGTCTGCAATTTGAGGTGCAGTTAACTGTAATGAACTTATCCTCTGCAGCAGAGGTAACTCTGGGTCTTCCTTTCCTGTGGCGGTCCTCATGAGAGCCAGTTTCATCATAGCGCTTGATGTTTTTTGCGACTGCACTTGAAGAAACTTTCAAAGATCTTGACATTTTCCGTATTGACTGACCTTCATGTCTTAAGTAATGATGGACTGTCGTTTGTCTTTGCTTATTTGAGCTGTTCTTGCCATAATATGGACTTGGTCTTTTACCAAATAGGGCTATCTTCTGTATACCACCCTTACCTTGTCACAATACAACTGATTGGCTCAAATGCATTAAGAAGGAAAGAAATTCCACAAATTAACCTTTAACAAGGCACACCTGTTAATTAAAATGCATTCCAGGTGACTACCTCGTGAAGCTGGTTGAGAGAATGCCAAGAGTGTGCGAAGCTGTCATCAAGGCAAATGGTGGCTACTTTGAAGAATCTCAAATATAACATATATTTTGATTTGTTTAACACTTTTTTGGGTACTACATGATATGTGTTATTTCATAGTTTTGATCTCTTCACTATTATTGTACAATGTAGAAAATAGTAAAAATAAAGAAAACCCTTGAATGAGTAGGTGTGTCCAAACTTTTGACTGGTACTGTATGTGCCTCACCTTGTCTGTCTGTGGGGTGGCCTGTGTGGACGTGGTAGAGGGTCTGTTGACTCTGCCGGATGGCTGCAGTGAGGGGCAGGTCCGCGTGCATCACCCACTCCTGGTTGTTGCCATTGACAACTGCCTCTGTGGGCATGGCTAGAGACTGGCGCTTGGGCACGTCCTTGGTCAGGGTCGCTAAGGACTGTTTTGCCTAGGAGGGAAGACACGCACACACACACACATCAGCCCCATGCAGCGTTACCATTGCTTATTTTACAATATTTTCCTACACAAGATGGCTATTCATGACTCTTCCCAAGTGTGTGTGTGAACGTTCATAATGTATGTGCGTGTGTGGGTGCGCTCAAGTGTGCGCACGTATATAAACAGCCCACTACAATAGTGACACTGCTGTGTGGGTTTTGGTCTCTGTTGGGCTTTCTTGTCTGTCTGTGTTTCATGAAAAATTCAGCCGTACGCGTGTTCCCCTTTGATGTGTGAAATCTCTCACTGACGCTCCTGATGGAGTGCTGAGAGATGGACAGAATAGCTAGTGGAAGTGTTAACAGCCAACATAAAGACAGAGAAAGAGAGAGCGGGAGTGGGTTAGAGACAGAGGTGGGCGAGAAGTGGGGGAAGATAGAGAGAGAGAGGATGTGAGAGAGGGAGCGATAGAGAGAAAGAGAGGGAGAGAGAGAGGGGGGGAGTGGGGGTAGATAGCGAAAATGAGTATATGGGGAAAATAGAAAGAGAGCGAGGGAGTAAGAGAGTGAGAGAGATCATCATCATCATCGTCACCCCTAGGGTTGCAAAGCTAACGGTAATTTACCAAAGTTACTGGAATCTTCTGTAATTTTGGTAATTAACAGGTAATTTATGTCAATCTATGGTAACTTTAGTAATTTATACTTTTATAACTTTATTCATATATAGTATTCATTTTTGATATATGTGTCCATATTGTCCATGAGTTTCTGGTGGATAGACCATATGGTACAAGAGAAAATAGCCTAATTAATGAAAGAAGCATCTAATCAACAATGGCATTATTTTCAATTAACTCTGCAACTCTTCCAACTAAAAACTTTTTTTCACAACTGCCACCAGTTTGGTACCAAAACATCTGACATAGTAAAATAAAGAAGTGTGTAAAACATTTTACAAAGCGTATTTGATGCAGGAACCCTCATATTAAACACCAATGTTATTTGCCAAGTTGATGGTTTATATTTAGGATAATGTTTTACAACTCTGTCATTCAATTTTTTATTTTGAAATAATCTTATTTGATTATGTTATATACACTGAACAAACATATAAATGCAGCATGCAACAACTTCAAAGATTTTACTGAGTTCCAGTTCCTATAAGGAAATGGTCTGGTGAGTATGCAGGCCATGGAAGAACTGGGACATTTTCAGCTTCCAAGAACTGTGTACAGATCCTTGCGACATGGGGCCATGCATTATCATGCTGAAACAAGAGGTGATGGCGGCGGATGAAAGGCACGACAATGGGCGTCAAGATCTCGTCACGGTATCTCGGTGCATTGAAATTGCCATCGATAAAATTAAATTGTGTTCGTTGTCCGTAGCTTATGCCTGCCCATACCATAACCCCACCATGGGGCACTGTTCATAACGTTGACATCAGCAAACCGCTCGCTCACACTGCCATCTGCCCAGTACAGTTGAAACTGGGATTTTTCAGCATGTCAGTGGCCATCGAAGGTGAGCATTTGCCCACTGAAGTCGGTTACGAAGCCGAACTGCAGTCAGGTCAAGGGGCTGGCGTGGTTACACGTGGTCTGTGGTTGTGAGGCCGGTTGGACATACTGCCAAATTCTCTAAAACAACGTTAGAGGCGGTTTATGGCAACAGCTCTGGTGGACATTCCTGCAGTCAGCATGCCAATTGCACGCTGTGGCATTGAATTGTGTGACAAAACTGCAAGGTGCACTTGTGTAATGATCATGCCGTTTAATCAGCTTCTTTATATGCCACACCTGTCAGGTGGATGGATTATCTTAGCAAAGGAGAAATGCTCACTAACAGGGATGTAAAGAAATGTGTGCCAAAATTTGAGAGAAAAAAGCTTTTTGTACATATGGAACATTTCTGGGATCTTTTATTTCAACTCATGGAACATGTGACCGACACCTTACATGTTGCGTTTATATTTTTGTTCAGTGTACTTTACATGTGATAAGGCCACACAGAGGGCCAGAGATAAGTACAGCCACCTGTGATAATCTCAATTATCCAAAAGAGCCACTAGATGTCTTGTGATAAATTACATAAAATCCTTGAAAGTTACCAAAATGCTGGTACTTTACTGGTAAACTGTGAAAGTTTCCAGTACTATACCCTCCCTTTGCAACACTAGTACACCCATCCTCATCCTAATTATCATCATCATCATCATCACCAGTATCACCAACAACATCACCTTAATCACCCGTTCACAATCCTTAGACATGCAGGACAGAGTGCTAAGCATTTCGCTGGTCAAACCATGAGCCCTTATGTGGAACTCAGATGTTAGTTCATTAATTCATCAATGCAGTTTTCTAACAATTACACCAGATGATCCTTCTAGTCACTCCGAGTTAGATGAAACCAAGAAAAGGGGTCAATCAGATTGAGAATATTCAAATCATTCACAAATCGACTCATTGGCATCAACCAGGGGGTTAGAGATACACGTGCATACCAGAACTGGTTTCAAATAGTATTTGATTGCACGAGCCTGCGTGGAGTGCCAGAAGGACGGGGTTGGCGCTTTTCTGGACTATTAGAATGGTTTCTGTTGCGCCAGGCAAGCTCAATAAAACACAACTAAAGTATTTGGTGTATTTCAAATACTATTAGAACCCAGGACTCCCTAAATTAATTTCACACTGGAGAGAAGATCAGGGGAATGTCAGCACGCTTTGAGATAGAGCGAGGGGAGGGGGTCACAAAGAGAGGCGAGCAAGGGGGCCGTTCTTACCGACATGACCCTAGGGGAAGGCTCCCTGTTGACGGGGCGATCAAACACCCAGTATTCCATTTTCTGTGTCACATTGTTACTTATCTGAGGGAGGAGACAGGGAGGGCACACACACACATACACACGTTGAGAGGGGCTGCTCTTCTCGGTGTGTGTAGAAGGAGTGTAATGGTCCAGCAACAGATGTAGAACAGCTCTGGGTTTCTTACCCTGGCTTGCTGAATGGGCTCGACCGTGTATGTGTATTTTCAGGTGTTTATTCTTTTGAGTGCTTCTGTATGTGTGTGCTTCCATCTGTATGTATGTGTGTGTGTGTCTCACCATGGCCAGCTCGGCCTCCAGCTCCTTGATCCTGTTCTCCTTCAGGTCCAGTTGGGAGCGCAGGGCACCGGAGTGCTCTGTAGATTCCTTGGTCTGCCGCCGTAGGTCCCACTTCTCCCTCTCCAACAGGTCCTTTTCCTTAGCCAGCGCCTTCACCGCATCCTCACTCTCCTGACAGACACAGAGGGGGGGGGGGGGGGGGGGGGATAGTGGGAGATAGAGGGGTAGAGAGAGGGGGAGAGTAAGAGGAGAGGGACACACATTCATTAATCTATTAAATTACTTACAATGACATAACAGGTTAATGACAATCATTATACAACTTCTATGATGCGTGCACTTTGTATCTTAATTACAGCTAACAAAGCCTTCCCAGCATTGTGTGTGACGTGTCATACTTTTCTGTGCTGTTCGTAGTTGCGGATGAAGTCCCGGAGCTGTTCCTCTCGGCTCTCCAGCGTGGCGTAGAGCTGCTGCATCTGGTTGACCAGATCTGCTTTCTCCGCCTTCAAACGCTTCCGGTCCGCCTTCATTGCTATGAAAACAATAAGAGAGAGTCAGTTAGCATAGCTTCTATACAGAGGAGCTATGTTCATTTCTATGGTGTCAATATTATTGTCACAGGTGTACAGTGTCCATATTAGGATAGTCTCAGTCTCAGAAGGACTTTGTTCCATTCCAAAGCAGAGTTGAATATCTACTAATACTACTAATAATATACAGTGAGAACACTAACTACAGTACCACATTCGTTGAACTGTGCGAAAAGGCAAAGTACACAAAAGCACAACGCACTTCTTTTAAAATTCAGTTGGGGACAAATTAGCTGTATATTGAGAGATCCTTTGATAAGCCTGATCTTGCATGTCTACTGCTGAGTGACAGCTTTTTGATGGAAAAGTGAATTATAGATGAACCTTTATGACAATCCCTTCATCTCAACTGCCATTTAAATCTTACAGAGCCCCCTTCTGTATTTTCTCTTTCTCCTTTCTCTCTCTTTCTCTGCTTTATTGGCATGAAAAACATTGTGTCAATATTGCCAAAGCAACAATGTATATAATAAAATAATATAGAATAACACATAATGATAACAATAATACTAATAATAAGTAAATTACTACTTACTATGCAGATGTAATTATTCAGTGTCCCTCAGGCTATGGCAGGCAAATACATATTTGGCTGCAAGAGGAGCCGTTGCTCCTTCACCCATGACTGTTTTTTGTTTTTCCTCTGGGTTTAATAAGTTAAAATTTGGAATAAATGTAGTAATAATGAATCTCTTGGTGAGGAATATTTATCACAGTAAAGTAGAAAGTGCATCTCTGTTTCTACCTCCCCTGTCGTGCAGTGACCTCATACACACTCCTCTTTGGGTAGCCATGTTTTTTTATGTCTGCCGGTTTCTATTGCCAATTGGTGGTCACTCAGCCTGTGCTTGGTAAGGATCTGTCTCTGCTTCGTATTTCTGACAGAGTAGAGATAATCAGCCAATTCAAATTCTCTGTTCAGAGCCAGATAGCAATTTAGTCGGCTTTGGGATTTTGTTTCGTTTTTCCAATGTTGTAAATATGAGACCTTTGATTGGTTCATGATTTTGTTTATTTGAATTATTTCTTTTGAAGCAGTGCTGGTGTCAGCTTGGTTGGTTAGGTCCAATACCAGCTGACAGAGGGCTCGTTTCTGGGCTCTAAATTGGAGACTTGAACTTGGACTTGAATATAGGTTTAGCCAAAATTGTTATGATCTTTTTTGTACATTCATTACCACTGGAAAGTGGGCCAATTCTGCCCTACATGCATTAGCTGGTGTATTTCTTTGGACTTGAGAATTTTTTGACAGAATTCTGCATGTAGGGCTTCAATTGGATGTTTGTCCCACATTTTAAAGTACAGTTTATTGAGTGGCTCCCAAACCTCACTTCCGTAAAGGGCTATTGGTAGGATTACGCTGTCAAATATTTTCGTCCAAATTCTAATTTGGATGTTGATTTTGAATAATTTCATTTTTATTGCATACAATGCTCTACAGGCTTTTTAAAGTTTCCCGATGCAGATATGGTCAGACCAAGGTATGAGTAATTTTTAGTGTGTTCAATTATGGTGTTGTTCAGGGTGAATTTATATTTATGTTTCTGACATCTGGGGTTTTTCTGGAAAATCATGATTTTCGTTTGATTTATTTACTGCCAGGGCCCAAATATGACAATATTGCTTTAGAATGTTAAGGTTCTGTTGACGACCTTCTTTGGTTGGTGATAGAAGAACCAAATCATCAGTATATAGCATGTATTTTACCTCTGTGTCAAATAGTGTGAGTCCTGGGGCTGAAGAATGGTCCAACATGTCTGCTAATTCATTTATATAAATGTTGAAAAGGTTTGGACTCAAACTGCAGCCTTGTCTCACACCTCGACGTTGAGAAAATAATTATGTTCTTTGGTTTTTGATTTTTATTGCACACTTGTTTCTGTGTACATACATTTTATTAAGTCATACACCTTACCACCAAGCTCACTTTGGAGAATTTTGAAGAATAGCCTTTCGTGCCAAATAGAATCGAATGCGATTTTAAAGTAAATGAAGCAAGCAAAGATTTTGCCCTCTTTTTTTTGGTGGATGTGTTTATTAATTAGTGTGTGTAGTAGTACGATGGTTGGGGATAATTGTTATTTTTTTCTTGAAGAAAGGTTTGAATTATTGAATTCAAAATGCTACAGAAAACCTTTCCCAAGTTGCTGTTTACGCATGTTCCCGTGTAATTATTGGGGTCTGATTTGTCTCTACTTGTGTGGATAGGGGAGATGAGCCCCTGGTTCCAGACATCAGGAAAGCAGCCAGAAGTTAGTACCATGTTGACAATTTAAGCACAGCATTTTGCAACTCAGGTATGCTGTTTTTCAGCATTTCATTTCTGATTTTATCTAGACCACAAGCCTTCATTGGTTTTATAGATTTTAGCTTTTCATTTAGTTCTTGTTGGATTATTGGGTAATCTAATGGATTTTGGTTGTTTTTAATGACTAATTCAAGGATGTTCAATCTTTCTTGAATTTCTAATTAGTTATTTTGTAAGTCTTTTTGTGGGATGTTTTTGTATAGATGATCAAAATAAGTTTTCCAAATTCCTTCATCTTGTATGGCTAATTCTTGTTGTTTTGTCGTGCTTAAATTTTCCCACAGAATTGATATTGGTCAATTGCGTTTTCAATTTCATCAAGTGTATTATTGGTATAATTCCATTTCTTGCGTTTCAGTGTATGTTTATTTTGTTTCAGAGTTTCAAAGTATTTATAGCCTAGCTCCGGGTTGTTTTGCTGCTTATGTTTATCATTTGACATTTGTCTTAGGTGTTTTCAAATTGTTTTACATTCGTTATCAAACCATTTTTCAGAAACATTTTGTTTTTTGTTTCTGATGTTGTATTTCTTTGGTTTTCTCAAATTTGCTTTTGATGCTCCTTTTTGGAATATGCAATTTATATTTTGAGTAGCCAAATTGACACCTTCTTTATTGTTTTGGTATTGTGAGTTATTGAAGACCTGTATATAGTTCATCATTTCATTTGAGTTCAATGTTTCAATGAATTTCTCTGCACTGTTTGGAGCCCATCTGTACGATTGGTTCATGTTGTAGAGTTTATTGGGCTGTATTGCTGGTTAATTTCTTCAGAAACACGTTGATCTGACTGTGATCTGACAATGGTGTCTGTGGTCTGACAATGAATGCACTAATGGAGGAAGGGTCGATGTCAGTGATGGCATAATCGACTACACTTGTCCCAAGAGCTGAGCAGTAGGTAAACCAACCTAAAGAGTTCCTTATGACTTTACCATTAAGCACGTTTTTGTTCAGTATTTGGTCAGGACGGTTTCTATTATTTATAATAGGGCTACTGTACAAGGAGGGGTGTCCAAATATGTGGTGGTTACCTCCCGCATCAGCGTAGCCAGGCTCAGAACCTGTTCTCGCATTGAAATCTCCACAAAGAAGCACTTTACCCTCTGCCTGAAATTGAAGGATTTCTGTATGGAGATTGTCAAAAACCTGATCATCATAATATGATGAATCTGAAGGAGGACCATAAGCTGCACATATGTATACATCATTGTCACAATAGATTGTACCTTTGTTAAGTTTTAGCCAAATGTTGCTAGTACCTTTTTTCATTTCATTCAGTGCTAAGTCCTGCTTATAACACCTGAGTCCCGGCCCCATTTAACATTTTTATGTTTGATTGATGGTTGTAAACTTTCTCTATAGCCTGAAGGACATTGAGTATCAATGTCTCCAGGACACCATGTTTCCAGTAGGATTATGATGTCCTGTCCCTTGATGTTTTTAAGAAATTCTGGATTTGTTGTTTTAGAGTATAGGCCCTGGATATTCCAAGAGCTGATAGTTAATGATCTCATTTATAATAAGTGATATTCATTGATTTGTGTAAAGTACATTGAAAGATAAAAATAATATATATATATATATATACAGTGGGGGAAAAAAGTATTTAGTCAGCCACCAATTCTGCAAGTTCTCCCACTTAAAAAGATGAGAGAGGCCTGTAATTTTCATCATAGGTACACGTCAACTATGACAGTGAAAATAGATTTTTTTTTCTCCAGAAAATCACATTGTAGGATTTTTTATGAATTTATTGGCAAATTATGGTGGAAAATAAGTATTTGGTCAATAACAAAAGTTTCTCAATACTTTGTTATATACCCTTTGTTGGCAATGACACAGGTCAAACATTTTCTGTAAGTCTTCACAAGGTTTTCACACACTGTTGCTGGTATTTTGGCCCATTCCTCCATGCAGATCTCCTCTAGAGCAGTGATGTTTTGGGGCTGTCGCTGGGCAACACGGACTTTCAACTCCCTCCAAAGATTTTCTATGGGGTTGAGATCTGGAGACTGGCTAGGCCACTCCAGGACCTTGAAATGCTTCTTACGAAGCCACTCCTTCGTTGCCTGGGCGGTGTGTTTGGGATCATTGTCATGCTGAAAGACACAGCCACGTTTCATCTTCAATGCCCTTGCTGATGGAAGGAGGTTTTCACTCAAAATCTCACGATACATGGCCCCATTCATTCTTTCCTTTACACGGATCAGTCGTCCTGGTCCCTTTGCAGAAAAACACCCCCAAAGCATGATGTTTCCACCCCCATGCTTCACAGTAGGTATGGTGTTCTTTGGATGCAACTCAGCATTCTTTGTCCTCCAAACACGACGAGTTGAGTTTTTACCAAAAAGTTATCTTTTGGTTTCATCTGACCATATGACATTCTCCCAATCCTCTTCTGGATCATCCAAATGCACTCTAGCAAACTTCAGACGGGCCTGGACATGTACTGGCTTAAGCAGGGGGACACGTCTGGCACTGCAGGATTTGAGTCCCTGGCGGCGTAGTGTGTTACTGATGGTAGGCTTTGTTACTTTGGTCCCAGCTCTCTGCAGGTCATTCACTAGGTCCCCCCGTGTGGTTCTGGGATTTTTGCTCACCGTTCTTGTGATCATTTTGACCCCACGGGGTGAGATCTTACGTGGAGCCCCAGATCGAGGGAGATTATCAGTGGTCTTGTATGTCTTCCATTTCCTAATAATTGCTCCCACAGTTGATTTCTTCAAACCAAGCTGCTTACCTATTGCAGATTCAGTCTTCCCAGCCTGGTGCAGGTCTACAATTTTGTTTCTGGTGTTGACAGCTCTTTGGTCTTGGCCATAGTGGAGTTTGGAGTGTGACTGTTTGAGGTTGTGGACAGGTGTCTTTTATACTGATAACAAGTTCAAAAAGGTGCCATTAATACAGGTAACGAGTGGAGGACAGAGGAGCCTCTTAAAGAATAAGTTACAGGTCTGTGAGAGCCAGAAATCTTGCTTGTTTGTAGGTGACCAAATACTTATTTTCCACCATAATTTGCAAATCAATTCATAAAAAATCCTACAATGTGATTTTCTCGATTTTTTTTTCTCAATTTGTCTGTCATAGTTGACGTGTACATATGATGAAAATTACAGGCCTCTCTCATCTTTGTAAGTGGGAGAACTTGCACAATTGGTGGCTGACTAAATACTTTTTTCCCCCACTGATATATATATATATATATATATATATATATATATATATATATATATATATATATATATATATATATATAATGTACACATACACACACACACACACACACACACACTTTTGAAGTCGGAAGTTTACATACACTTAGGTTGGAGTCATTACAACTCGTTTTTCAACCACTCCACAAATTTCTTTTTAACAAACTATAGTTTTGGCAAGTCGGTTAGGACATCTACTTTGTGCATGACACAAGTAATTTTTCCAACAATTGTTTACAGACAGATTATTTCACTTATAATTCACTGTATCACAATTCCAGTGGGTCAGAAGTTTACATACACTAAGTTGACTGTGCCTTTAAACAGCTTGGAAAATTCCAGAAAATGATGTCATGGCTTTAGAAGCTTCTGATAGGCTAATTGACATAATTTGAGTCAATTGGAGGTATACCTGTGGATGTATTTCAAGGCCTACCTTCAAACTCAGTGCCTCTTTGCTTGACATCATGGGAAAATCAGAAGAAATCAGCCAAGACCTCAAAAAAATAATTGTAGACCTCCACAAGTCTGGTTCATCCTTGGGAGCAATTTCCAAATGCCTGAAGGTACCACGTTCATCTGTACAAACAATAGTACGCAAGTATAAAAACCATGGGACCACGCAGCCGTCATACCGATCAGGAAGGAGACGCATTCTGTCTCCTAGTGATGAACGTACTTTGGTGCGAAAAGTGCAAATCAATCCCAGAACAACAGCAAAGGACCTTGTGAAGATGCTGGAGGAAACAGGTACAAAAGTATCTGTATCCACAGTAAAACGAGTCCGATATTGACATAACCTGAAAGGCCACTCAGCAAGGAAGAAGCCACTGCTACAAAACCGCCATTAAAAAGCCAGACTATGGTTTGCAACTGCACATGGGGACAAAGATCATACTTTTTGGAGAAATGTCCTCTGGTCTGATGAAACAAAAATAGAACAGTTTGGCCATAATGACCATCGCTATGTTTGGAGGAAAAAGGGGGGGCTTGCCAGCCGAAGAACACAATCCCAACAGTGAAGCACTGGGGTGGCAATATCATGCTGTGTGGGTGCTTTGCTGCAGGAGGGACTGGTGCACTTCACAAAATATATGGCATTATGAGGAAGGAAAATGATGTGGATATATTGAAGCAACATCTCAAGGCATCCGTCAGGAAGTTGAAGCTTGGTCGCAAATTGGTCTTCCAAATGGACAATGACCCCAAGCATACTTCCAGAGTTGTGGCAAAATGGCTTAAGGACAACAAAGTCAAGATGTTGGAGTGGCCATCACAAAGCCCTGACCTCAATCCTATAGAAAATGTATGGGCAGAACTGAAAAAGCGTGTGCGAGCAAGGAGGACTACAAACCTGACTCAGTTACACCAGCTCTGTCAGGAGGAATGGGCCAAAATTCACCCAACTTAATGTGGGAAGCTTGTGGAAGGCTACCCAAAATATTTGACCCAGGTTAAAGAATTTAAAGGCAATGCTACCAAAAACTAATTGAGTGTATGTAAACTTCTGACCCACTGGGAGTGTGATGAAATAAATAAAATCTGAAATAAATAATTATCTCTACTATTATTCTGATATTTCACATTCTTAAAATGAAGTGGTGATCTAACTGACCTAAGACAGGGAATTTTTACTAGGATTAAATGTCAGGAATTGTGAAAAACTGAGTTTAAATGTATTTGGCTAAGGTGTATGTAAACTTCCGACTTCAACTGTATATATACACACACACACCATTACATATATTATTATTATTATAATACCAGTGCCAATAAAATAAAGAATAGTTGTAAACAATTCAATAAGAATGGAATAAGATTGCACTAAAAATAAGTACAATGCAATGCAATGCAATCTGCAACCCCCTGTACGTATGTGTTTCTTGTGTGTGTGTGTGTGTGTGTGTGTGTGTGTGTGTGTGTGTGTGCGTGCGTGTGTAAATCAAAGGATCTGTCTATCCCAGTATTCTGCATATTAGATGCAGTAGTTGGCGCACTTCTCCAATCTTTGATAGTTCTAGGTGTGTTTTGCCAGAGGTTACCTCAGCATATGTAGGTTGATGATCTGAATGATACATGTTGTGGACTGCATCATGTGGTGCACTTCTCTGAAGGACAGTGTTCTGCCCGACCCTACAGTAGTGGTCAGTGCTGTGCTGTGATGGGCCGGGTCTAGTAGAGCTGTGTTGTGATGGGCCGGGTCTAGTAGAGCTGTGTTGTGATGGGCCGGATCTAGTAGGGCTGTCCTGAGGCGGGTCTGGTCTGGTAAATCTGTGCTGTGTTGGGCCCGGTCTTGTAGAGCTGTGCTGTATTAAGCAGTTTCTGGCTCCTCTCTCCTGGGGATGGTGGGGGTACTGTTGTTTCAGAAGTGGATCGGGGGGCCTCTGCTGCTGGGGTGATGGGTTTTGAGCAGTGAGGCACAGTCCACAGTGATCTGTTGATTTATTTTGTCGATCAACTGTCCTGGGAAGTATTTTCTTGGTAGGAGGGTGGACACAACTATTTTGGTTGTTGGGAACATAGCCTGTGCCCGCTCTGCCACTCTTCTCACTGCCCCAGATACATTTTCACCTTTGGCACGAAGGTCATTTGTGCCAGTGTGGATGATGATGTTGTCAGGGGTGTCAATCCTGGTCTGACTAAGTAGCTGCATTGCACTCTCAGTTGTAGGACACCAGAACTTATACACCTGGTGTCTAGGGAATAATCTTTCCTGGACCAAGAACTTCCCATTTGAATCGATAAGGATTGCAGTTGTGGGTGATTGTCTGGGTGGAGCAGACTGGGAGGCTGGAGCAGACTGGGAGGCTGGTATGCTGACCTGGGCTGGAGCAGACTGGGGGGCTGGTAAGTAGACCTGGGCTGGAGCAGACTGGGAGGCTGGTAGGTTGACCTGGGCTGGAGCACACTGTGCTGGAGCAGACTGGGAGGCTGACCTGGGCTGGAGCAGACTGGGAGGCTGGTTGGTTGACCTGGGCTGGAGCAGACTGGGAGGCTGGTGCAGTGTCATCAGGCTGTGTGGTGGAGGCCATGCTGGTTATGCTGGTCTCAGGTTCTGCCTGTGTTGTACCAAGCTGGTGGAGATGTTCTCTAGATGCAGAGGACATAATGACTAGCTGCTGGTTGAGGGTGTCAATGTACCTCTCTCTCTGCTCTAGCTCCTCTCTTGTTGTGCACAGATGGTATCGGAGGTCATCATTTGTCTGACTCAGTTTGTCCATTCTGCTTTCTAATTTAGCAATAGATGCTCTGCTCTCCTCCCTGAACTGTTTCATCTCTTCTTTTAGTTTCTGGACAGTGTCATCCTCTTGAAGCTTGCTCTCTCTGAGTTCTATGACCTCTGCTTCAACTAAAGAGAGGGTGTTGTGGAAACGTTGCATAGCAGGTGTTCTTGGTGTTGTATGCATGTCCTTGGCTTTGTCTGCTGCAGGTGAGGTAGGTAGAGGGACACGGAGGGCTTCTTGCTGGGTCACAGAGGCTGTTGGGGTGTTGGGGCCTGCTTTTCTCCATCATATCCCTCCTTCACTTTTTCCTCAGCTTCTACATTTAGGGTAGCAAACACATTCTCAAAAGCCTGGAGGCTTGAATCATTGCCTTGTATCAATACAGTTCCATTATTGTATAAGTTGACTGTTTGATATGTGTTGCTCTGGTCAGCTTCTTCAAAAAATGCTTATCTGACAGCCTTGGCTGATGCCTCTCTTTTTTGAGAAACGGAAATGGTTGCAAATAACCCTTTTCCATATGTGTCCTCGTTTGGTATTAAATATTACATTTGCTCTTGTTTTGCAACTGGTAAGATCTGCAAACAGGCAATCATGGTTCTGTCCCATCATCAAACCTTTGAAACTTTTCTTAGCTTTCTCTGTTTGGATGTCTGGTGGGTAAACAATTTCCATAGCAATGCTGGTGATGTTGGCTACAATGTTGCAATATAAGCCTACCTTTTCCCAAACAGTGTTGTTTCTTGTATTATTGTCTCTAGTGTCGTTAGATAACTGTTTTACTTAGATGTCCTTTGTCTTCTGTCCTTCTTTTGTCATTCAATTGTGCTGTTGACTAGCTATTGTTTGTTAGCTAGCTAGCTTCTTTTAGGAGAGTCCCTAGCAACTGGTAAACAATCCAGCTAGCTAAGATAACTGCCCAAGCCCATCTTCTTCATTTGTTTTTGTGCTTGTGTGTCTCCATAAGTCTTCCAATGTAATTGTACCAAGGGAACGTAACTAAAAAAACATGTAAAGGGAAAGAGTGGGAGGAGAGAGAGAGAGAGCGAGAGAGAGAGAGAGCGCGAGAGCGAGATAGGAGAGAGAGAGAGCGAGAGAGAGAGAGAGAGAGAGAGAGAGAGAGAGAGAGAGAGCGAAGGAGAGGAGAGAGGAGCGAGAGGGAGAGAGCTATCTAGAGAAGAGAGAGAGATCTAGCTGGAGAAGGAGCTATCTCGATATATCTATATCTCTCAGTACTCTATATCTATATCTCCTCTCCTCCTTCGATCGCCTCTCATATCTCTCTCGCTCTCTCTTCTCTCTCTCTTCTCTCTCTCTCTCTCTCTCTCTCATTAAGTTCCATTACAGACACTGCAATTGGGCGACGTTCACAGGCTGCATCTGGGGATCGCTCACACACTCGGACGGAAGCATCAACCCAGCACTGACTTTTCACAAGGACAGATTCACCCTCTTTTTAATCCCTCTGTTCACCCGCAGTCTCCATGCCAACGTGATGTATGACTGAGCCACCTGGCCGGACCACAAGGACAAAGAGATCCCCCTCATTGGTCAGGCCAACAGGAAGCTCCGCTCCTTTCGGCACCTGCTGCAGGAAATTATATCAAAGCTCCCTTTGAGCTGAGTGAAAACATGGCAGAGCAACAAAAAAAAATATCTCGCATTGGAAACTATTTGGCAACAAAAACTCCCTCTACAACCCATAAAGGCAGAGCCTTGTTCATTGTCACAGTGCATGTGTGGTGCATTCATAAACAGACAGAATTAGGAGGGATGTGGCGTTGTCTCAGTTCATTCAGAGAGCCAGAAGCTCTGCTTTAAGCCGGACAGGTGAGACAGGAAACCGCCAGGGTGCCACCTTCGCTGACAACCGTATTAATGACTTCCATTCTCAGAGGCACGGATGGCTTGTCCAAGACTCCAGCCACTCCAAAAGTCATTATCAGATGAGACAGTGCAAACCACCAGGGAACCGGGAAAACAGACCTGGAGCTAATGTTGTGTGTAGAGTTTGAGGACAAGGTGGTGTAAAACAAATTTAAAAAAAGTGATTTGAACGGATGTCTTTTCATACACTGTCTCTATGATGAAACCAGCACCTGCTCCCCCCTCGATGTGTGTGTATGTGTGAATATCCGTATGTGGGTGTGAAAGTGTTTGTGTGTGTGCATGTGAGCATGCGTGTGCGTGCGTCAGCTCAAGGGCATTCCAGGTAACAGCGGGAGTGAGAGGAGAACAAAATACACTGGAAAAACACAAATGCATTACCAGCAGCGGGAAACAGACCAATCTTGCCCATCTACCCACGGTTCCTGCAAAACACATCACAGACCATAACCCTACCCTATTCACTCTACCCTCTCTCAGCATTGTCTATGAGACAAAGGCATAAGTGGTTTGTGACCACACATAGCACACCATTTTTTGACAATAACAGCTGTTGTTCTTTCGTACTGTGGCGCCCAATTCCCTACATAGTGCACTACTTTGGACCTGAACCCTATGGGCCCTGGTCAAAAGTAGTTCACTATATAGTGGCTTCATTCATTAGTGTGTGTGGATTGGAGCTTGGGGTGACTCGAGAGGCTCCTACTTCCTTTGTCTTTGTGACTGAACCACAGTGGGTCCCATCATGCTTAGGGTCATGTATAAAAATGCTGGACAGGCCCAGTTGGCCATTATTTTGGCTACCATGGCTAGAAGAAGAGATCTCAGTGACTTTGAAAGTGATTGTTGGGGCACGTTTGGCAGGAGCTTCAGTGATGAAGACTGCTGAACTTGTTGATGTTTCATGAGTAACAGTGGCTAAGGTGATGTTGGCATGAAAGTCTGAGGGAAAGGCATCATCAACTAGGGGCAACTGCGGTCGAAAGCGCATACTCCTCGACCGTGATGTCCATGCATTGGTTTGAGATGCAAGGCAAAACAGACAAGCAACTCTAAGAGGGATACTATGGTCGTGTTGCAGTGCATAAATCTCTTATTAAACCTACAAATGCACGTTTGAGAGTAAAGTGGTGCAAACAACCCAGGCAGTGGTCTACTGAGCAGTGGAAAAAATAAATATGGCCAAATGAATTGTCCTTCATCCAGTTCTCAACAAAATGACGTGTGTGCATGTGTGGCCCACGGCAAAAGAAACCTACAGTCCCGAGTGCTTGTTTCCACGGTGAAGGGTTCTGTTGGCTCTGTTATGGTATGGGGTGCATTTTCCTGGCATGGTTTAGGTCCCCTTAGAGGGCAAGGTGAACACCAATAAATGCACAGCCATTTTGAGTGATCATAATTTCTATCCTGATGGGAGCGGTCTCTTCCAGGATGACAATGGCCCCATCCACAGCACACGAGTGGTCACTGAATGGTTTGATGAGCATGAAAACGATGTAAACTATATGCGATGGCTGTCTCAGTCACCAGATCTCAACCCAATTGAACACTTATGGGAGATTCTGCAGCGTTTTCCACCACCATCAACAAAACACTAAATTATGGAATTTCTCGTGAAAGAATGGTGTCGCATCCCTCCAATAGAGTTCCAGACACTTGTAGAATCTATGCCAAGGCGCACTGAAGATGTTCTGGCGGCTTGTGGTGGCCCAACGCCCTATTAAGTCACCTTATGTAGGTGTTTCCTTTATTTAGGCATTTACCTGTATATAATGTCATATGGTCATATTGTAAAATGTTACCCTACACTGTACTACAATGGGGGGGTCCCTGTAAAACCTAATTCCCCATGCTGACCTTTGACGCTCACTGCTGCAGAGATCCTGTTGTTTACGAGCGAGCCAGGGGAAACCATAAAAAATGGATCAACCATTCCTCATTAACTGCTAGTCCGGGGAGCCTCAGATATGAATGAGTGTGAAGACCAGTAGCAAATACATGTCAGTGTGGGAATCTGGGCAGAGAAGCAGCAGAGACTTTGATACAAAGATAAAATATTAAAATAATTCAAATTAAATTGAGCAGACAGACAGAGACTTGTTAGCTTGGGCTGAATTTGCAAAACCCACCCAACTTTGATTATTAGATTCAGTCACCACATACAACTTAGTACTGCAGTGTTGCTCTTCATTTGAATGCACCCGCCATTTTTCGACCGTAGTGGAGATTTCTATTGAATTTAATCCTCTCTCTTCTGACACAGTTACTTTGTTATCTGTATCTATTCAGCAGCTAAGACCAAATGTGGCACTGGTGGTTTTTCATTGAAACAAGTCCATGCTTTTTAAGACAATTAGCAGCAGCTATGGACACCACCATTCACAGATTCTAGCTTTTCAGACCTCTCTATGTCTGTCTCATTACTCTAGTGTAAGGTCTGTCTTTCCATGCAGCGAATATGAGGCCTGATAATGAGGAGAGGGGCTCAAGCTGATTGTTGAGTACAGCCACCAATCACAATTCATTATACTGAGGTGCAATTAATGAAACCTCTAAGAGTTCATTAAAGAGGACAATCACTGTAGAGTTTCTCAATGGATTTTGGTCGGCTGATTGGTTGTTCTCTTGACTGGGGATTGGTGGACAAAGGTACCATAGGCAACCACTAGGTGCCACTGTGAACCTAAACTACAACTCCCTGGAGACAAATTGACTGTGAAGATTGAACTACGAAGCAGCAAAAACCCTTCGAATATCTCTTAGACTAAACAGCTGCCAGCAAAAAAATAAATAAATAAATAAATAAAACCTTGGAAGTTTGGACCACATTAGCCTGACTGCATTTATGTTTTCCACTTTTCAAATTCAATTGGAGTCATTTTGAAAGGAGCCTTCATTTGTTAAAACCTCTAAAACTGTAATTAATTGAATGTGATCAGGTTAAGTGGTCCAATGAGAGTGTGACGACTCTTGTGGGTAGCTGTGTCTCCTGAGTGGCGCAGTGGTCTAAGGCACTGCATCGCAGTGCTAGCTGTGCCACTAGAGATCCTGGTTCGAATCCAGGCTCTGTCGCAGCCGGCTGCGACCGGGAGACTCATGGGCGGTGCACAATTGGCCCAGGGTAGGGGAGGGAATGGCCGGCAGGGATGTAGCTCAGTTGATAGAGCATGGCGTTTGCAACGCCAGGGTTGTGGGTTTGATTCCCACGGGGGGCCAGTATGAAAATATATATATATATATGTATTCACTAACTGTAAGCCGCTGTGGATAAGAGCGTCTGCTAAATGACGTAAATGTCTGTGTGGTGCTGTGCAGCTTTCAGAGCATGTCGTAGTGTGAAACAGCACTAAATGCACTCGGCAGATTGTGCTTTGATGATACATTGCCGTCTGAGGCTTTCATTTCTGACTGCATTGACTGGGAATCCGTGA